GTAACGCCAGAAAGGATGATCGATATGAGCGATGAGAGTGTGACCACGGCGATATTCCAGCGTTCTTTTTCCAAAGCCATCCACGGGAGCAAAGGTCTTCTGCCGAAGAAGTGACAGAGGATCACATAGAAGGTTAGGCCATGGGACACTGCGCCGAGGACTCCATACGGTATGCCGTAAACTTCGATGTGCTCTCTGAGGTTCTTCGCGTCTGTGGTTACGAGGTCTCGGGGCTCGGGGCTCGACATGCGAAGGTCGGTCGGTAATGCGTCTGCTGCGAATGTAAGATAGGCTCCAACGAGTGCCATGGTGAAGAGTTGGCGGTGTCGTATAGTCATCTTGAGAAAGCTTGACAGTTTGCTGCCGAAGAAGAACGGTAAAAGCTCAGGATAGGATAATTTGGGGATAACTACTAGACAATGGGAGGATGTACGCACATGTTCGCACTGCCGTAGTGCTCTTTATGATATGCTGTATGAGATTGTCGCCGAATTGCCATCCCTCAATAGCACGACTTTCACCGAAGGCGCACCGCGACCTGCACAACGTTCTACATTTGGGGATGAGGTCAAGGACGTTGTAGCACACCGTTCACATTAGCGAAAGCCTTCCGTTGCTTGGGAGTAATTTCCGGCCAATGGAAAAAGCCATTCGAGTCAGCCGCAGTTCTCAGCCTTGTAACAGCTACCGTCACTTGTTCAGCAGCCGCTCGGTTTGTCTGCGGAGAATTTTCCAATCTCGTCTGTACATGGGGTGAAGCTGAAAAGGGTTCGAATTGACGAGAGCTGGTCGCAGGAAGCGAGGTGTTGTCTTGGCTTTGGGGGCCGAAGCAGTACAGCGACGAAGCTGTTGTTCGGTTCATGGGATGCAGGGTAGGCTGAAATTCGCTTGAAGAAGCAGGGACTCGAGGGATGTCAAGAGTAGCAGAATATAGTAGAATGGTAGAGCTTTATGAGTAAGAAGAATGAAAGACAGGCTCAAGCTGTTCGTGTAATGCGCCAGGTAAGGAAGAACCGAAGATATAAAGGGAAGAGATCATCGGGATTATCGCATGAGCTCTTGCAGGTACTGTTATCATTGCCAAGCAGCAATGTTTGTATCGCTTTCCGACTTCCCAAAAATATTGGGTATGAGCCTTGAGGGTGTTGTCATGCGATAGGATGAGGCTCCTGCTCCGGGAGTAGCGGCGACGTGAGCGGATATTTAACCAAGGAAAGACGTAGAAACCTTTTATTCGTTATTATCGTCGACTTGACGCATTGAAATGATCCGTATTCAAGTCTGTGACTGTGATGTTAGTGTTAGAGTGCATGTTAGTCGCCCGCCTGTGGCAAGAGGTGAAGGCCCGTGCGATAGCCTAAGGAACTTCAGAAGGAAAGCACTATCGATACTCAAACACCAACAACCATGAGTTGCCACAATTGCGCCAGAACGACGCTGAACCTCTTCATCCGCTCTTTCGTAAATACCGAGCAAATCCTCGCTGCTCGACGACCGCTACTCCGTCCGCAACAATCGCGGTTCTCGACCGATGCGCGCCGACTACGCAAAGTAGGGCCTATAATACCCACCGCGGAACCACAAACAGCGGAACCGAAAGAGGCCGAGATAGAAGATGCTCTCACGGGAGAGTTTGGTCAGGAGAGAAGGCGCGAGCGTCCGGCTTGGGCTGTACAAAAGGAAGCGCTGAAAGAGAAGCTGGGAGGCGAGGCATGGAGCCCGCGCAAGAAGCTGTCGCCCGATACCATGGAAGGCATACGGCACCTGCACAGCACACAACCCGATAAATTTACCACACCCGTCCTCGCGCAACACTTCAAGGTCTCGCCCGAAGCCATCCGCCGCATACTGAAGAGCAAGTGGCAACCTTCCGACGCAGAATACGAGGCCAGGATGGAGAGATGGAACAAGCGCGGAGAGAGGATATGGTCGAACCTGGTAGAGATGGGTGTCAAGCCACCGAAGAAATGGAGAGAAATGGGTGTTGGTCGGGCTGAGAATGGAGAGGCGCCCAGGTGGAAGTCAAGAGAACGGAATCAGGTGGACGTTAGGGACAGCGTCCACGACGACTTTAAGGACTATGTTCCGGACGAGGAGCTTATACCGACTGTGGGCAAGTCTGGGAGGTCGAAACCGACGACTAGCCGTGTGCCTCTGTTCGAGAGACTATGAATGGAAGAATCTTGGCACGCGCAATGCTCACCGCAACCAAACGTTATACAAACATCCGCTATTGGGATAGACGTCGTTATCTTACGAGGCACCGCCTTGATCAAAGGCTTATATGTTTACTTGAACCTATCGCTTCGCCTACATAGCTGCAATCAGTATCGTGTCTCGCGAAACATACGATCAAATTGCACGCCAGCCAGAAGGTACTTTTTACTGCATGAGAGACCAGCACTTCATTCTGACACTGCCTTTCAGACAGTTGCCCACAAGCTGGAGATCCCAATGCTTCTAAACCTCAGCCTTGCCTCGCCTCCTCTCAGCCTTTCCAGCACGCCACGTGAGAGTGCGGGGTATAGTTACTTAGGCGCTGGACAACGGGATCCCGTTTTGACAAAATGGGACGTTTAAAACGTAGTTCAGTCTGTGCTACATGACATTGGCTCCCTAGTGTGGAGGGTGTCTACCCTGACATCCGTCAAGCCACAGATCTGCCCGTGTTAGTGGCCTCGAAGCTGTGACCAGAATGTTGGGTGGCATGGACGACATGAGGCTAGCTACATGTATACAGCTGGCTAGTGGTGGTCCCCAGCTTCAGGCCTCTCGCATGCACTCTGGGCTAGGGGTGGTCCCCAGCTTCAGGCTTCTCGCATGCACTCTGGGCTAGGGGTGGTCCCCAGCTTCAGGTCTCTCGCACGCACTCTGGGCTAGGGGTGGTCCCCAGCTTCAGGCCTCTCGCATGCACTCTGGGCTAGAGGTGGTCCCCAGCCTCTCGCACGCACTCTGGGCTAGGGGTGGTCACCAGCTTCAGGCCTCTCGCATGCACCCTGGGCTACTCGATGGCCGCTTACGCATTTCCCAATTTGGTGAGATTTGGAGCAACCCTAGCCGGTGAACTTTGACCGACTGCTGCGGTCTTGCAAATTTAGTATGGGCGCTAGCGCGGCATGGCAGCCAGCTGCCATGGCGGGTAACCAATGGCTCCCTTCAATGATCGCGATTAAGCCACCGGCGTAGACTCTGATCGTTGAAGGTCGCGCGATGGCTGTATTCTTCGCAATGGCTCCAGAAAAGCAGGCCACGTTGTCTTGGGACCGTAAATTCACTGCCTCACGGCTCTTGTACACCATGCAGACAGATGGCGCAGGTGGTTCTCCATGACCTCGGGAATGTACTTTGCCGTCTGGAGACCAGAATCTTCTATACTCATGAAATACTGCTCAAATTGTAGGAATTATTGGATTATAATCTTTTGCGAAGCATTGATTGGTGTTAGCAATGAATATTAAACCTTGGGCAGTGAGGGAAGAGGCGCAGCATCCACAAGTCAGCTTTCCAAACTACACCGGCTGATACTACATGGGTTCTAGATGACGGCGATACTGCGAAGTCTCCGAATCCGACGCGGCTACCCAGCGAGTGGAGGACGTAAGCGACTCGGGCTAGTGCAGGACATACACAATGTGGGGTTTACACATGCAGCATGCAGCAAGTGACATTAGGCTCACCAGCATGACACTAACAGGCGCCTGCCGCGTAGTTCCAGGTGGCTCGAGCTTTCTGTTCATGCTGCCCTGTCTAGCATAATCTCAGAATGTGCCTGTGTACAAAAGCCCACGGAGAAGCACATCACATCTAAATATCCTCTATCATTCCCGTACATTACCACCACTGTCACAAAATCACGTTATCAACCTGGTATTGCAATCAACATGGCATGCATGTCTACGTACCTACTCTTCTGGCTATTCTTTTCGGTGAATAGCATCGCATCCCCGACACTGCACGCAGCATTACATCAAGAAGGAACCATGCCCACCAAGCTCCGATCTACCGTCTGGTCTAACGAAGCCATCTTCACCCTCATTGGCGTGTGCGTAGCGGTGGCCGGCATCTTGATCGGATTGGTCTCTTCACCAAAACTACGGCAGTGGCTGTGCAAGCCATTCAAATGTAAGTAACGCATTCAAGCTGCATTTTGTTAGCTTCTGACATGAAAACCTTCCACAGATTTCTCAAAGACCAGACGAATGGAAAGATCACGACATCGTATGGATGCCAGACGACAGTTACAAGAGGAATATAACGAATACCTCAGGTTCAATGATTTTCTGGAGTTGCGAGGAGGAATCACAAGCCCCAGTCAGCCTTGGTAGCATTCGATCATGTAGAAACTCAAAGATGGGGCATTGTAGTCGGAGGAGTTTCGTTTTCTTCCATGTCAGAACATCTATTTACGTCGTGTAGTCACCAGCCAAACATCATAGTACCACCAAAAGGAGCGAAGTGTGACCGAAGACAGGCAGTTTCCTAAACCTCGTACAACGTCTTTCGTACCAAAAAGCTTAAACAAGTGGACTTGCTCGCGCACCGCCACACAATCTATTGGGATAGATGCTTCAGCCACAGAGGAGGCCCTTTTCACTTTCACAACAAATATAGCTGTGTGTGTACGCGTACAAGTAATACATACATTCACACGGCTGATATAACAAGAAAGTTGTTCACTCACCTCCCTTTCCCCAAGACATTATTGCCTTGTCCCCGTTCATCTACTAAACATTGTTTGCTGTAGTTAGGACAATCAAAGCAACCACAAAGAGAAGGAATCCAACTGCACATTGCTAGTCAGTACAACTCTTCAACCACTACTCATCATGTCGTCTAACACCTCCACCGCACCTGCAGCACATTCTCACATCCAGTTTGGCGCTACTCCTCACCGAACACCTATACCGCGATACCCTTCTTCCTATCAACATAGCACTCGTTCCACTCACTCAGCTCACTCCACTCACTCAACCCGATCTGCAACTTCTCCAGCTGGAAACATGTCGCGGTCTTCAACATCAGCCAAACCAGCCCAAGACTTCACAGACATCCTGTCACAGCAGCAGCTGAAATCCATGTCTGATCTCGACAAAGAAGAAGAAGCGCGGCTGGCAAAGACACATCGTGCCAAGGCTGTGAAGATGGGTGTGGGGATTTGTCGGTGGGTTGGGAAGTTGGCTAGTACCAAGTCGAAGAATGAGGCTAGGGGAAAGAAGAACGAGGAGGCTAAGTAGAAGAGGAGGGGTCATAACAGCAGAATGGGGTACGGATGAGATGAAAGCGTTGACATGCACATGTCCACTATACGAACTTCGATTTTACAAGTCATATGTATATGTGAGAATGACTTTTATACTTCATGGATTGGGTGACTTTGCATCGCGAGATAGTTACGGCAAGAGCAGGTGTCAGGTTCTTTCCCAAAAAGACCTGCGTAGTATGTTGTACAGCGACCGTCCTTTTCGACAAAATAACCAGACAAGGAGATCATAACAAAAACAGGGTATGTGACGAAACCAGTACAGATTCAAGAAAACAATATGACTTCTTACTAAACCGAATATACACCGAAAGCAGAAAGGAAATACCTGCAACGACCGGGGAACTCGGGGTATATGTCGTAAAGTCATAAATTTGGTGGGCGCAATGCGAGCCCGTCATCTAGCAACATGACTGGCAAGTAGCGACCGGTGTAGTCGTGACGTGTTTTCTTCATCTCTCCTAGTTCCACCTCGATCGCGGGTAATCATCGTCGTCGTACACCGATCGGGCCTGAGAGTCGAAAGATGCACCCATGCCATTGGTACCGCTTCGTTGGCGGGTGTGCCTCTTGTTGTCAGATTCCCGGCGGCGATGGGGATCATCTGCGGGATTGTGCATGTTGGACGCGTAGTAGTTGCTGGGAATGTCGCGCACCGTGGGATCAGACTGAGTGCCGAAGTTGGAGAAGCTTGGGCTTCGCGGCCGGACGTTCGGGCCACGAGGGGGAGGTGGCTGCTGGTGGTAGTGAGCGTCCGTAGGAGGAGGACCCCACGGTCCCTGACCGGCATTCGATTGCGCGCGTCGACGCTTCTCGTTGGCGGAAGTATCAGAGTAGGTGCTGGAGCTCATGTCTTCGGTATAGGATTTTCCGCCACCAGGAGCGGCTGAGTAAGGCTTGCGCTCCCGCTCGATAGGTACGGATGTAGACATTGGCTCATCTTCAAAGTCCATTGGCCTCACTTCGGGCCTCGAGGAATATGGACTACGTTCGCGTTCAAGACTGGGCCCTGGGGGAGGGGCTTGGGTCTTGGGCGGCGGCGGTGGGAAGGTAGGTGCCTTACGAAGCGGCCCAACACCCTCAGCGGACAAGGCTGCAGCGCATCTTTGCTGCGCGTGTAGGTTCTCGATGGTCGGGAACATCCTACGAGGAAGTTCTTTCGGGAACCGTTCCTTCCGATCGTCTGCGTTGCTGATCGGCATGTCCAAGATGGCCTTTACTAATCGTTCGTACTCTGTGTCGGGATATGCCTGGATCATGGTCGTCATCCATTCCTGGAAGCCTTCGGGAGTAAGCGCAGGGATGTAAGGCGCTTCTGCGGGATGTTCTTGGATGAGATGGTGCTGGCATCGCATGTCGCGGTATACTTTGGAAAGAGCGGAATACGAGAGGTCTCCAAAGATGGCTGCATATATTAGCATGTGTTGAGAGCATGAGCATGCGCCTGCTTACTTTGCCATGGATAGATTTCATCTTTGAGCTTGACCTCCTCATAGAACTTGAGCATCTTGGCCGGGGAGATGACCAGACTGTGCTTGGGTTCGTAGTCTTCGATCTATATTGTCGTTAGCGCATGATCTCTCCGTCATCCTGAATACGCACCAAGTGCAGAGCCAGTCCACGCAAGAGCTGGCCAAGGCGAGGCAAAGGCTGACCGTCTGGCTCGAACAGTCGCTGCCACATCTTCTCGATCGGGGTATAGTCTTCGGTCATCATCCTGGGCGCGGGGCCCGGTCGCGCAGATGGCCGTTCTCGCTCTACTGGTGCGCTTCGCTCAGGACGCGGGGTAGGCAGGTCGCTATTGCCATCCAGCAGTGGGTCGCGATACAAAGGGTCGCGCTCGGGAGACTGCTGGCTTGGAAAGTCGGTGCGCTTTGGAGATGGCGGGGTGTACACGTCTCGAGGCGGAATCGAGTTGGATGTCGACACTGGCGAGGGCGGGACCCATTGCTGCGGGGAGACGGGAATGTTTTGTGCTTGTGTAGCACCAGCCATGCCGCTTGATTTGATCTCGTCCAAGACGGACCTCTTCACTTGCTCCGTAATCTGAGCAATGAGATCTGGGTCGACAACGCGCGCAGCATCAGACTTGTCGAAGGCATGTCCGATGGCATTCTTCAGTGGCTGCTGGATGGGCTGCGAGCCACTGTCGAAACTGCGGCGGTCCCAGGCAGGACTGGAGTCACGAGGCTGAGAGTCGGAGGCATTGGTGCCAGTGCGAGACTTGGGTCTTGTGCCATAGTCGGGGCTTCTCCCGCGGTCGTAGTATTGTTTGTCAAAGGGCGATACGTAGGAAGCGTGGTGAGGGTCGGGTTGGTCGCGGTAGGCCATGCTGGAGCCCAATGGCAGGCGCTCGGGAGCCCCTGCAGTATGACGTTGCGAGGTGAGAGTTGTCGAGTAGGCGACCGTTTGTGGAGCGCAGCGAATAGGTGCTGCTGCTATTGCAGAAATCCCATGCACGCGCGACAGTGACAGGTTGCTGGAGAGGACTAGCAAAATGGAGATGTGGGCACGGAAGAAAGAAGACGTTGGCAGAAAGGCTGTGGTGACAAACACGGCTCAGCCCGGTGGATTGCGGGCTTTTCGTTTTCTAAGGCAGCGATACCCTGGGCAGAGGGAGTGTGAGGAGGGCAACAAGCAGCAGGTCGGACAAGCGTGTCTTGAAGGGGGTTTGACTGGCTGTGAAAGGCCATGTTCTACGTGCAGTGCCGTCGACGTGCCGCACCGCAGGCTGGGTGCAGGGCGACTGCTGCGTCATACGCAGGCCTGGGAATAGCAGGACGTCATCACGTCTATTTGCAGTCGACCCCAGCCGAGGGGCAGAGACGGGCAGGATCTTCAGGACAGGCAGAGGATCTTCAGGAGCAGAGGATTGGGGCATAGGATTGGGGGCACGATGAGCGCGGACTGGCGGTAATTATGTTTGTTTGGTTTAGTAGTCGTCATTTCTAGCGCACGTTGAGCGCGGTAGCGACAGCTGTCAGTGACGGCGATGTTCCGCTCGTTTGCATGCCTTTTGTTTCAACAACACGGCGCTGCCAGCTGCTGGCCACTGCGCGCAGGTCACGGCATGACAGTCAACCCATTCATCCCCGTCTACCTTATGAGAAACAGCGCAAAAGGGGTGCCGAGCCGGTGGCATGAGGACGCCTTATCAGACGGCCGGCTTATGCGCATCGGGGCGGTTACGGGCTCATACAAGAGGAGCCGAACATGTGTACTACAAATAAAGCAAGTTAAGATACTGCATTGATATTCGCGCTGTACGTGTCTATACTCTCGACTAGCATGAATAATAAATTCTTTTTGCTTTCTACTGTGTATTGTACATTGTAGTACTGTAGGTGATCTGTTCAAGTTCCCACAGTACGGTGCCGGTGGGGCGCGAGTGACGAGCAGTGAGGCGGCTGAAGTGAGACAGTGTGCGTGAGAACAGGCGCAGAACCAGTGAAGCAGCACAGCATGCGTAGGCGCCAGTTATCTTCATCTTGCCTGTCCACGCGTTGCAGCGGTCTGTAACGCGCCAGGCAGAGTCAGCAAACAGAAACACGAGGTCGAGCAGAATGGCAGATAGATGACAAGTGACAGGTACCGGGATGGATACAGGGCCTGCAACTATTTCCAGCTGGCGAGGCAGTCCCTGAACATCTTTGCGAGGCGGCCAAGATTATATTAAGTCGGTCTGCGGTGAGGCAGATGCGGGCTAGTCGCTAACGGCGCCGGAGCCCCATGCATACAAGCGCCCGCTGGCCCAACACGCGACGATCGACGGCTGCGTGCAAAGCAACGGGTGCATGAAGCTCAACACGCGTCTTTGATGAGGGCGCGGGAGGCTACTTGAGTGCCTGTGGTGTGTCGCTGGGTGCGCTGATAGCGACAATGCCGTGTGGGCGCGCCGTCAGTGGCAGCGCCGAGTTGGGGCGCGTGCGATTGGCGGAGTGCCGTGACCCCAAACCCGCTAGCGTTTCAGGCTTGGAGCCATGGCAAAAGGTGTCTCCGCGCTCGCGCTGGCCCTCAGCAGACGACGGGATCATCCTCTGTTTCGAGCCCGCGTCTTGTTTCTGCCCTCGTCGACCTCTCCGAGCCAGCATCCCGGGCGCCCGTGTACGCCGCAATAAAGAAGCCCGAAACCCCCATTCCACAAAGACAAGGCCGTCCGCCCGCAACCCACACCAACTCCACGCCGCCGGAGACCTGCATCTAACACCGCATCCTACATTCCGCAGCGCCCTCTGTTTACGACCCTCTTCTATCCTGGCACGCGTAGCAACCATAATGCATATATGAGATAGCGTGAACAGACCGACCGCCCGACGTACGACCAACCGCCCTACCTCCTACCTAATTAGTCCACCACTCTTGAACATCGAACACCCGCACACATGGCCATGCTCGCCGCAAAGTCTCCGTATCCCGCGCCCTCCATGAGTGGGAGTGCCTCGCAGTCGTCCGCCCAATACAACGGCGGCCTCTCCGGCTACCGCAGCCATGCCTCAAATACACGGGCCGAGCAGTCCATGTTTGCTTCTCCCACCGAGTCAGAGTTCTCGGAGATATACGACGCTCCCGACGCCATCAGGTAAGGCTCACAGCTGTCAGCCACATGTTCATCACTAACATGGACAGACATTGGGACGAGGACAAAGTTGGTGACTGGCTGAAGCGTATCAACTGCGCCCAGTATGTCGAGCTCTTCAAGCGTATGTCACCAAGCCCATCATGCTAGCGACCACTGACATCCCCAGACAACCACATCAACGGCGAGAACCTCATGGAGATGGACCAGACCCACCTCAAGGACATGGGCATCAAGAAGGTCGGCGACCGCGTCCGCATCGGCTCGCAAGCCAAGCAGCTGCGCAACAAGGAGTACAAGAAAGCCTCAAGACGCACATCAAATAGGCAATCGCTAGCCACGCTCGACAACGCCGCATACACTCCGCCATCCTCTGGCTCTCCCCGCCCGCTCTACTC